CCGCGCGTCCCCCACGGCGGGAGCCACGGCAGGAGAAGGAGGACGGGGGGAAAGAGGTGGCGGCAATGGGCGCTCCACGGTGACGACGCCGTTGAGCTGCAGGTCCTGGAAGAGCTCCTGCAAGCGCCGCCGCACGGCCATATTCTCCCGCCTAACTTTCGAGAGCGGCACCCGCCTCCGCGGCCTCCCCATTGGAGCGTGGCGCACGTCAATCTCCTCCACTTGAGTCCATTGGGAAATAGGCGGCAGGGGCTCCTTCCAGCGCCCAATCGGGCAGCAGGGGGCAGAGCTTCCCCTCGCCCGGAGAGCCTGTAGCGTTTGAAAAAAACCCAACGCCGGCTCCGCGCTGCCATTGACTCTCTTAAGTACATCGAGCTCCAGCGCATAGCCAAAGGTGCCGGCCTGAAGGCCAATCTGCGGGTGAGGCACAGCGGGCGCCTGGTCCGCGGGCAGGATGGGGCGGTAGCTCCGGGGGGCAGCACGCCTGGGCGGCCCCACGGCCGTTATTTCGCTTCTGGTCGCTGCCGTGAGGAAACCGTGGTTCCCTCCGAGTCCGGGGGCGGTGTGGGCAGCGGCGCGGGGCTGGTAGTTCGGTACTTCAACCTTGGCCTATTCCTCGCCGCCTTCGGTAGCGGGTGTTACTAGGAAGGGGAGCAGAGTAACCACGGGGAGCCCTCAGGGGCGAGAGTGGGTTTGCCGCTTTACCGGCAAGCATTAGGAACGAACAGGTAATGCGCCTGCCCCTCCGTTTTGCCTGGGATGCTCCGGGCACTTAACAATTCTCTAGCCTGGCCTAAGCTGCCGGTAACTCCCCCAGCAGGAGTGGGCCAAGCGGGCACAAAGCCTTCAAAAAAAAGGCACAACTGCAAATACACCACTGGAGCAGTTGATTGGACCAAGGATTAGATGTCTTCGTGTTGCTGAGACTTCTACTTGGGTTGTGGTTCTGAGCTGCTTTGTGTGTAGCTTCTAGTTTGTGCCTAACTAAAATCAGATTTGACTTTATGCAGGCCTGTTCAGTTACATATTTAGAAGTCTTTTGTTTATAGCTTTAAACATTGGCAGTGTATTTTTTATTATTATTCTGTGTGAGCATGGAGAAGGGATAAAAAGACTGCTTTGCATGTAGCATTGTGCGAAACAGGAAAAAATTATTGAGGAAATCAAGTGCATTTTTATCTGTGTTCAGTTAGCCTGCGAAATAGTCTCATTTATACCAGAATAATCAGACTTCCTGGAAGAAAGACCAGAAGAAACCTAGTTGAAGAAAACTCTCTTTGTGCTTCTGTGATGTGTATGTTACTTAAGGCCCAGGCTAAATTTGTATGTTCTCAAACTTGACTAATTTTAATGAGGCTCCAGACATGTTTTAAGAGTTTTGTTTTGTTGTATTCAGTAAATGTTTTACTGTCTTGGCCTGATTTTAGGCTGCTATGTGGATTTGTGCAGGACTCTGATCACTTAATGCAATCTTTGGTTCATATCTAATCAAAATATATAATATTTTGAATTCTCTGCAGGCAGACAAACTGTTGAAAGCACTGAAGCAACACTTTCATGGAGCAAATCAAGAAAATGAAAATATGGTAATAATGAAAAAGTTTCTATTCTCTTTAAGAAAGATATATCTATCTCTGTAGCTAGTAAAGTATGGCATGTAGTGAAGATTGTATTTAACACAGTGCAAGTTAATAGTATTTTTTTGTGATAGTGCCTTCAGTTTAATGTACTTGCATACAGACTGAGACAGGTGTGTTGGTATTGGCTTTAAAGTGGGGCCATGTATGATTGAAGGCTTATTTGTTTTACACTGCCAAAAAATAGCAATGCGCTTTTTAGCGTAAGCGCAATTTTATTCTATACGAACCCTAGCATTTCAGTTTCCATTGACCCTATCTTAATCCTTATGTGTTTAGCTCCAAATGCTAGTCAGTACCAAATGTAAAAATGTCTAGATGAAAGGAACTAGCTATTCATCTCAAAGCATTTTCTATCTACTGTCATTTATTTACTGGTATTATAACAAAGGAGATACAACTGGGATGTTCCATTTAATTATCTATTAGTATGTTGTTTTCTGAAAGCTTTTCCTTTTGTAAGTTAAAACATGTAATCGAGTATGGCTGTGTATGGGTTTTTTTTTTTAATCTTTGATAGAAAGTAAATGAGAATTTGTGTAAAACATCCATTTTAAGTGTTTCCTTTATAAACTACATATTTTAAAACATGAAGAGTAACTTTTCTATAATCCTTGCTAGTTTGATTTTACTAAACTTTGATAGGTGCGTTAAGTAACAATGTGAATGTTACATATTTTTCCAAGATATAATTAAAGTCTTGTGCAAAAAAAAGTCACTCAAGTTTCATGTTATGATATTTATTTTGTACAGGATTTGGAAAAAAGTGCATCTACTACCATTGAATCAGATGAACAGAACAGTCGGGAGGAATCTATGCCTGATCAAGAGTGCTTTATCACAAAAAGACGTGGAAAAGAAAAGAAAGCAACCAGAAAAAATAGCAATTCCAAGGAGGAAGCTAATAGCGGTGGAGACAATGAAGGGCTTTCTGCTGAGAAAGAGGTGATTAACATTGCTTGGAATTGTCTACCCTGTCTCCCTCCCAAACACATATATGAAGCATAAGTTGTATTGGCATAAGCATTTTGTTTCATTTTACCACTAGCTAACAGGTAACATGTCTTTTTTTGCAAGCAGACCTGCTGTGTTATTGGTCCTCAGTGCTTTATAGCACCATTTTTTTTTGTCTAACTTGTCTATATGCTACTCCAGAATGAACAGATAATATCTGTTTTATTTTGTGTACACTTATTTTGTGTACACCTTTCTTTGTGTATACTTTCAGCTGGCAGGTCGAAGGGGGAAATATTAATTGAAGAAGTTTAATTCCTCCAGGATGTATCATTCAAAATAATTTATCAAAATATATCTACTGGTTCATCATAGTATTCACCTGCATGTTAGACTAGCTTCAAAACCTACCTAAAATTGGTGTGTTTCCACTTTCCTATGTAGTAAAAATTCAGATAATTTTGATATGTGTTCCTTTATTTCTAGTTTTTAAAAATAACTCTTTATATTTTTTTCTAAAGGACTGTGTATAAAGACCAGCAACAAGGCAGATTCATTGTTCTAGGAGACTAGAAGTTTCTTGTATCTCACAATTTCAAAGTGAAAGATGGGGAACTATCTGACTGGGAGGAGCAATGTGTGTGTGTGTGTGTGTGTGTGTGTGTGTGTGGCGGGGTTTTTTTTGTTGCTAGGGGCGGTGTGTGTTGTTGTTTGTGTGTTTTTTAATATTCAGAGAGGGAAGGTTTTCTTGGAGTAAGATTCACCACCATCGCCCCTAAAATCACATGCACGTAATGAGAGAATTAAGACAGAACTGTATGAACAACTTTTACTTGTGTAAAGTTAGAGGAGGGATGTGAGAAAAGATGAATCATTTTTAGGTGCTACTCTTTCTTGTGCTGTTCCAATAAGCAAAAGCAATCACAACTACAGCACCAAAGATAATATGGCTGGCAAATTTGTTTTGCTAACAAAGTTGATTTTATTTTAAAATGCTATAGCTGTGCAGGTGCACAGGATAGACCCTGCTCAAAGCAGGGTCAGCTATGAGGTCAGACTGTATTGCACAGGGTCTTTGGTGTTTTAGTCTTGGAAAGCTCCACAGATGGGAGCCTTATAGGGGAGCTATAGCTCCCTTGGGCAACCTGTTCCACTGGCTGACTGTCCTCAGTGAATGTCTTCCTGATACCCAGGTGGAACAATCTGCCTAACCAAAGTATGTTTAAACCACAGGAGCATTCAGAAATGAAAGAAAACAAAGTGCCCCAGTATGAAAAGGGAAAGAAAGTACTGCAAAATGATGAGCCAGTGACTAAAAAGAGAACTATTGAGAATTCAGATGTGAGTATGGGGCAGAAAGAGCAACCAGAGAAGATTTCTGCTAAAAAAGGTAGAGTGGAAGGTAAGTTTAAAAAAAAAAAAAAAAAAAAAAAAAGTACATCTTATTAAGCAGTACAAATGACTAAACTTACTCTTTTGGAAGGGTTTTTTTTTTTTGTTATTCAATGTCTGGTAATTGGATAGAGCAATTGTACTTTACTGGGAATACCCCAGAAGAATCTGTATAATTTGGGCTAATGTGCTTGCTTGCTTAATATATTGTAAGGAAAGTTCAGATAGTTCACAATCCTGCTGTTGGACTTTTAGTGAAGGAGCTCTCAAAGATACCAGTGTATTTGAATCTTGCATCTTGCTTAGGATTAGTGCCCTTAGGAAAACCTCTGCAATGCTACTCAGACCCTTTGCAAAAATGTAAGAAATGAAGAACTTTCTTCCTCATGCTTAATTTTTCTTTTCCTACTTCCTGAATTCAACCTGAAGTCTGTAAAGTCTGTAGTGTTTTGTGTGTTTGGTTTTGTTTTCCCTTTTTTTTTTTCTGTGTGGAAATATAATTAAGTATTAAAATATGAAAATAACTGTTAATACTATACTAAAAACACAGATGGAGACGAGAATTAAAAAGCTGACCCGAGAGCAGAAATGGAGAGCAGGAGTTCTTATGTAAACCAGTGGCTGAAAGGTTTGCCAAAACGTATTTATTGGGTACCATAGCTTAAAAATCAGAGTTTATTAAGCAGATAAAGACCTTGTGTGAACAGGCAGTTTTCTTGCTAATTCTACATACCAAATATAGTGAAACAATTTAAAATAGAATAATCTAGCTTGACTTGCAGATTCATGTTGACATTGTAGTTCACCAAGACGTGTCATTCCTGACATACACCATTTAAAAGGCTTTTGAGAAACTGAAGACAAATTTGTTCTAATTGATGTTTTATTTTTCATAGCAAAGAGGTACTTGGAGCAGATTAGAAGCATGTGTTCTAACATATATTCTGAGGTTTAAGTAGCTTTACAAAATAGGCTTTAATAACACTAAATTAATGCCCTATGGTTCTAACCAGCCTGCCTAATATTGCTGCCCCTGGTGATGTTCTTCCAGCTCATCCTGCAGGAGGGAAGATCCCTTTATATGTAGGCCATACATCAAAGTCTGGGAAAACAGGAATGAAAGCTACCACACCAAGTAAGATGCCTACTGTCTCTATAAATAAATGTGTTGTCTGTGTATGAAGGGAGACTTGCCCTACAATTTTTTATGAATCAAACTTTTCTTTTGATCTTGAAAAAGAAAATATCCTCTTTCAGTAAAAGACTCCAGAAGGTTACACAGGGAGGCTTATTTTCCAATATATTTTTTTGTTGTAGCAAATGACTTGAGTACTTAATAAAAAAGTGATTTATTCAAGGTTTTGATGTATTCTCGATCTAATACTTGTATTCATAGTGGTCAAAACACAAGTGCAGGAAGACATGCCGTGATTCTTACTTGTTTAGCTTCCCATTTCTAAATATTTCTCCTCTGGTATAACAACATGTATTGGCTCATTTTGATCACTGTGAAAAATACAAGCATGCACTTAAATGTTTTGGATCACTGGATAAAGAAAGCTTTTTTTAAAACATCTGGTGAAGCAATGTTATTACATTTTACATTTGATCACATGTGGATACACAGATTTCTAATAAAGATCGCATTATATTTTCTCCCAACTACCAGTGATAGGTGTTATAAGTTTCTTCTGTGTAATAGTATTTTTTCTTAGGATCTTATCAGATATATATCTCTTTTATTTTTGGATCTTCTTAGACTTCAAAAAGTTACATGAGGCTCATTTCAAGAAAATGGAGTCTATTGCTGACTACATTGAGAGGAAAAAAAAGATTTCGGAAAACCGCAGCAGTTCTCTCAAGGAAGTCCAGGTAACTTCTGACAAGGGAAGACATCCACTGTTCACAGTTTTTTAAAATTCAGTGTTAGTATCCACAAAAGCACTCTTTAAAAATCCTACAGAAACTCTGTAGAGCTAGAGAGTTTTTTCATGTGTGCATGCAATTTCACTGACCATAGCATTCCACTGAACTGGAGTTTTACCTAACTCATTAGATATTACTTATATATGCCTTACATAAAAAAATATTTAACTTGTATAGTTAATGTAACTATACATTTATAAATAGTTATTAATGCTACTTCTGAGGAAGTTATAAATGTGTGTAATAGTTATTTTGTGGAGCACGTTCTGAAACTTTTTATTTCTGTTTGAATTGCTACAGATGAATCATTCTTCAAAAGGCAGAAGTTAAACATTATTCTTTTCCTCCTTTAATTTATATGCATCACGTTATTTTTGGTGGCTGTGATTGCCAATTCTTGTATTTTATGTTTGTGTATGTGAGAAGTGGAAATAGGGACTCCTCAGGGTGTAATAGACTTGAAGGGTTTCAGAAGTACTGGACTAAGACTTGTTGTCAATGCACCAAAATCCCAGTGCCCTCAACGTTACACTTTTTTGACAGACACAATGTGTATATAGAATTACTTTATTTTTTGGCAGGTACTGGCCAAAAACACTAATCATTTAAGGGCATCAGAAAAATGCACTCCACATAACAATTCTAAGGTATGTGTTTTTTTTTTTTTTTCAGATCACTTTCTAATAATGGATAAACTTACAAGTTTCAAATAGATCTTTTTCCTTTTTTTTTTTTTTTTTTCTTTGAAAGCTGAAAAGACTCTGCTTTTGATTCACTATGTGTGCTTTTTCCTTTCTTTCAGCTGCCTTCCTAATGTATCTTTAGTGGAATGAGCCAACTCATGCTTTGCTTTTTCCTTAGAAACATTCCAATGGCAAAACATTTTTATTCAGCCCAAATCCACAGAGAGGCAGATTTTCTACCAGCTGCACTCCTAGCAACCTCCGACACTCACCACGCAGTTCTTCGAACACTGCGAATAGGAGTATTTTATTGAGGAAACCTTCATTTAATCCTTCTGTCCTCTCAACAACCAAAATGAATGTCAGGTAAAAAGAATGAACCAAAAATTGCTCAGAGAGCAGTTTAATATATATGTAAACAACACTTCTGTTTGTACCAAGATGTGCTGAGCTAGATCTTGCAGCTGCACTTTAAGCATAAACTTTCTAGCTTCAAAACATAGCTTTCTTCAATATTTACTCATTGTCTTTCCATACCTTGCATCTTTCAGCTTATTCTCAATGAATCATGAAGTGCAGCTAGCTACTTCTTTTTCTCTTAGCTTTTCTTCTGATGTTGAAAATACAAATTACTTCTAAAGTTTCTTTTTATAATGCTTTAGCTACAGAATCCAAATGTTAAGTAAACCACATCTTTTGGTGAAGAAGTCTCCTAGCTTTACTGCATTTAGATATATTTGCCCTTCGAAATACCAAGGAAATCAATATCCTATTAATCTTAGCAGTACTTATTGCAGATAACGAGGGATCATAAGGTCACAACTGCCAGCAAAGCTGTTTTTAGCATGGCTGCTGTTAGGTGCGAATATCTTGTGTGCATAACTTCGCTTCTGTAAAATGTGACAGAACGCAGAAGGACTAAATGTCACATCGTTTGCATTTCACGTAGGGTAACTAATTTTGTCTTCATATTTCTAATAATCTTCAGGTTCTCGGAAGCCACAAGAGACAATGAGCACAAGCGCTCTCTTACTAAAACTCCATCGAGAATGTCTCCATACTTGGAGGAGGTCTGCACTCCTGATAGCCAGAAGAGTAGCAAAGTCTTAAGTAAGAAAATCAACAGCAGAAATTCCAAAAATAATGATATGTCTGCATCCAAGGGAAAAGTAGATGGTAAAATACCTGGATTCTTTTCAAATCAAGACTTTTTTTCTTATTGAATACTTACAAATCTTCCATACCCTAACTTTATGTAGGTTCAGATTTTTACGTACTTCTCTCATTCATGACTGATTCTTCAGAAACTGTCGTAGTTTCTCATAGTTTCCTGTGTGTTCTGATTAAGATGTTCAGGTGCTGAGAACTAAGGGTGCAATAAGGGTGAAGACTTTGGTATGTCGTAGCCACCTACAAAAGAGATTAATGTAGGATGGAAGGAATAGAAGCCTTTCTGGACTTCTACAGACTGCTTGCAAAGTTTTAGGTCGCAGGCACAGGGAGATCCTTTTCCCCTCTGTGGAAGGGATTCCCAATGATGATCTCATCTTCTCACAGGAAAGGGATATGTGCCAGGCCACTAGCTTGGGTCATCACCCTCAGCAACCCTAGCGGGCTTAGAGCCCTAGCCCTAGGAGAAAGGGAAAGTCTTCCTGTTGCCAGTAACCTCTGCAACAGCAGAGCTCTCCTACTGAACGTTATAGCATCCCACATGCATCAGCCCACCTCGGCAGCCTAGTGTGACATTGCTTTGCTGTTTGAAGGGACTGAAGTCTGGTATGGGGGTGAAAGAAGGGGAAAGACTCACTGCAAATCAGAAACTGAAGTATTCTGGAAAATTGTTCTTTGTTTCCTCTTTACTCTCATTGGGAAACCCAGACCTTTCACACACAACTTGCTCTTAAGGATGAGGAAACTACATGGGACAATATGTGCTGTTCCTGGTCATGTTATAAAGTTGTACTGTGACATGCTTTTTTTTTTTTTTTAAATTATTATTAAAAGTAATCATTCTCATCCCTAAGAATAATGAACAGCTCAGGAACAAGCCTTTACCGTTCCTTTTTCTTCTTGAGAAGATAAGGACAATATTTACAGAAACCCTAGTTTCTAAATGCAGTCTGAGGTTATGGTTTAAGATGCTTTGAGAACCACTCAACTGAAGAATAAGTGTGTATATATAGGTGACACCTTAAATTTCAATACAAAATTATGGAACTTACATAGTCCATTTCTGTGGTAAATGATACATGTAATACAGGCAATGCAATAAAAGAATCATTGCATCCAATTTGAGGTGTAGTAGATCCTCTGCTTGCCAGAGGACTCTACCCAAAATCAGAGCAAAAGAAAGGAAGCTATTCTGTGCCTCTGGCTTCCTCTAGATCTGAACTTTCCCCTTTCTCCCAAATATATGGTGTTTGTGGAATTCTGCCTTCAAAGGTGGCTGCAGGGAGCATTTTGGCCTTTTGGGTTTTGATGGTTGTAAGGTGGTCTTCACAGGAACTTTCCAGCTAGCTATGTACAAGGATGATCTTGCTATTTTTTTTTATTATTAACTATGACATCTTGATGTTTTTGTAGTTCTCACCCCCTTCAAGTTTGCTGCTACTCCTGCAGAACCCACAAGCACAAAGAAGACATTTGACCTCAAAGCCAGTCTCTCAAGGCCACTTCGCTACCAGCCCCATAAAGGTACTGTGATCTGGTGCCTTTAGCTTTCAGCACATCCCATGTAGCAGAGTGCTCATAACAAGAGTGGTACGAAGCACTGAGTGCCAAGTTGCTCAGTCTTTCCTCATGCCTGATTAATGCTGCGTTCTCACGCAACAGCTGTAAATTTCACTTTGCATTGATATAAAATCTGTAAATAAGGAAGCTCTGAAAAGCATATACTAAGAATACACCCTTATCACCTTTATTCATGTCAGTATGTGAATGAACATCTTTGTCTTTCTCTGAAAAAGATGTGTTCAGGAAAATGAGGGTTTTTTATTATTATTTTTAATTAAACTTTATTCTATAAAGTGCAATGCTGCTGGAGAAGCAAAGCAGTGCAGTGCTGTTTGTGTAAAGGCTGTTATCCAGAAAACTACTTGCCTGATACCAGCTGATGAAACTGATAATACAACTGAAGATGTTCGCATTTAACATCAAAGATGGCAAGCAAAATAAACTAGTGTAATATTCAGAATAAGCAAAAGTTAAGCATCCTGATGCTAATATACTAATTCACTGGCCTCTTTGCATCTAAATTATAGGAAGACTAAAACCATGGGGAGAATGTAAAGAAAATGCTGTCCCAAATAAGCCCGTGAATAGCAAAATCTCCTCATACAAGAAAGAGTACAAGCAACCACACCTCCAGACGAGGTTAGTATGACGTTATTTTAAACAACATTACTCATTAAAAGCTAGCATGATAATTTGTTTGACTTTTTATGTATCTTAAAGTATATAGTTCAGGAAATAATATTTTTATATTACAGCAATTTTTACCTCCAATTGTTATCTAGTATCAGGAAAGCTAGAAAGGTAGAAGGAAGATATGAATCAGGTACAAGTTTTTATTCTATGAAAGTTATTAATCCTAGCAGTTGGGCATTTATCTTAATCTCTGAAAGGAACTGTGAGCATTGACATGTTTTTACTTTCTATGTTAGATTTGTATCTCTAAGGGAAGACATTAAGGTTTGGAGCTGATCTAAAATGGAACTGTTATTGCTCCATAGTCAATGGAGCACATTGGTAAAATATATATTAAGCTTGGGTTAATGTATGCTAAGCCTTGGTCAGTGTAAGATTCCTTTTGGTTGCTTGTGGCTCTACTTAAGATCTCTGGTTTGATTATTTTTCTTTCAGGGAAGAAAGACGTGAGAAGCACGATCAGGAAAGAAAAAAGAAAAAGACCCAAGCTCTTGGAAACCGTAGAGGACTAAAGGTGGCTTGAGAAAAATCAGAAATAGCTGAGAGCTCGCTGTAAATACTGTTCTGTAAATATTTGTGTTATTTGTGCATTACAGTGTATGTCAGGTTGCTACTACTAGTAGAATCCAAAGAGCTTTGAATAAGACCTCACAGCATGTCTGAGCATGTTTTTGTGATTGACTCTTCCAGCAAGCTGAAAGTTCTAAACTTCTAGGAGCATAGAATTACCTCCAGTTGCTTAATATTTTACTTTAACTCTGGAACTGACTGGATTCTAACTGTGAATAAAGGCATCTTCAATAGGGGGATTTGTTAAGTCTGTGCAGCTAAAAGATGGGTAAGCGAAAAGGTGCTCAAAGACCCTCCTTGTAACTTAGATCGGGCTTCCCCACCAGAGTGCATTCCTTACTCGACAGAATGCATTTTTTGGATTGCAAGTTTCAAAATGTTTTACTGGTAACTGAAACAGTTGGAGATACCTGCTTGCCCCTTTCCCCAAACTGATCCCTGAGTTTTTTGATATGTAATTAGAAATGATCAATAACTGGCCTAAGTGCAGAGTTACGAGGGAATCTCCAGGGCAATAAAAATATTCCAACTCTGAGAACTTACAAGGTTTATAGCATAGCATAACTTTAAAGTATAACCTTAAAAAGGTTACTATTAAAAAATGATATTTTTCAAGTTACCAGATGGATGCTTTGTGAACAGTTCAGACTTTGTTCTTTTCCATGCTGAATAGCAGATGCTACTCTAACAATTATTCTGCTTTATGGTTCTCTATAATGCTTAAAAGATGTTGAAAGTATTACTGAGGCACATGTAGTATCTCACATTTTGAAGCCAATTTTGCTGTTAGCAGGGGAAAAAAAGACTTACCTGGATTTATTATGGATAAAGTAGTGACTGGAAAGGTAACTTAGCAGTTATAAGCTCGTAGCTAAGCAAATAGAAGCTTAAACAATTATCATCTCAAATATGCTGAAATTTCAAGCTCAAGCAATTTTTCATAAACTTATATTGGGGTAAAATAAAATGTTTTGTATATATCTTGGTTTTGTATCAGTGGTCATATTGCTTGTGTGCACTATGCATGGCAGCTTCTGTAGTACAGCACTGATTTTGCCTACATCTCTGTTACTACTTGTTTCCTGTAACTGTGATTGGTTTTCCCTACTGATTAGCTTGCCTCCACCCTCTGGAATGCATGTGTGTTCAGAAGGGATAAGCATGGCTCTTGTTTTGCTCTCAAACTATTAATTCTGTTTAAGAAGAAAAGCAAGATAGTGTCCTACATTATCATTTATCATGCGTCTCTTTAAATGAAAGGTACGCTTAATGTTTTAAATACTCTTCAATAAGGACACTGTGGAAGATATTTTCATTAGATTAAGATTATAGAACATCTGGAACTAAACTCTTTGGTAATTATACTTTAATAGTTTAATGCTGTCTTAAATTACTGGTCAGCAAACTCCTCAACATTGGAGCTACTGAGCTTTTGTGATGCCACCTGAGCCTGTGATTTTTGTAATGCTGCTGAGTTCAGCTGACTGCCCCTTTTTTTGGAAAGGGTGATCAGATCTTGCTGGGTCCATGCTGCTTCTGTAACCCTGCAGCCCAGCAGTGGTGGTCATCAAGCCCTTATTTTAGGCAAGTGACAGGGATGGATGGGTATATAGCTGAAGCTGTTGAAAAGAAGTAGAGCTCTTATCACCCATTCTAAAGCAAAAAGTATTCCACCCCCTTTACCCCCCTGTTCCCGGTGTGACAGAGGGACCAAGAGGCGTCTCTTGGCTTTTGTATTCATGTAAGTCAAGCCTAAAGGCTCCAATCTTCCCCCTCTTTCCTGTTTGGGTCCTGTCATTTGGCTATTTTCAGAGGTTGAGTTGCACTTTACTTAGGATGCACTTTACTTAGGTTCCTTAGGATATGAATTCTCACTGCAGTTGTAAAACACGATTTGAAGGGGCAATATGATGTCTGTAAACAGTGTAATGTAACAGAAAATTAAGGCAGTGTGTACCAAGAAAAGCTAGAACAAGCTCACAAACTTGGGTTTTATATTCTGTAATGGTCAGGCTAGAAAACAAATTTTAGTCAATGGTTCCTATTTTGTAAATGTGTATCAAAATGTGCCTTGGGCTATGCTCCATTCCAGCCCATGTGTGGGTGGTCTTGCTAGAATTTGGTGCTTGGCAGCTAGAAGATGCTACAGCCAGTGGCTCATGCATTTAACTTTTTAGTATTTAGTGAAGTCATCTTCACACTGATAAAACACACAGATTAAGGAGTTTCAAAAATTGAGCAGCTGAAGTGTATTCCAAAGGTCACCAAGACCATCTCAGGTTCAAGGATTCAAATAATATTTCTCGTATGCAAATTCTTCTGTATGAGCTCTGTCGTTGATGAGGCCAATAAAATCAATCTCCAGCTGGAACGGACCATTTACTTTGTCTCCCAGGGTGAATCCAAGGGTGCTGATCTAGTTTAAAAATGCAGACATTAGAATAGGGTTTGTAACAATACTAAAATCAAATGTCTAACACTTTGCTATTTTACAAAATTCCAGCCCTTTTGAACAGTAGTATTTATTAAAAATTAAAATCTCAGCCTTAGTCAATTCTGGGACTTCTATCCAGCTAGTGTTAACACTGCAAGCATATTTTCAAAGTCTGTTGCAATTCTAGGGTGAGAAACATGTACTTAAACATTGCAAAGAACTTTCGTTGTAAGTGAAATCAAATACCTGGTATAAATGTGAAAGTCTGGCAAAACTGATGCTTCAGAACCCATGCTACTGATTTTCATATTAAGGTAAGTTTCTTGATCACTGTTCTCTAACTAGACTGTTCACTGTTCTGAAACAGAAGAATGTCTCAGAGGGCCTTCCCCTAATGCTTTCTGCCATCACCCTGCAAATTCAAATACATTTTATTCCAACCATAATAAATTCCAGAAAAAAACAAATCCATGCAGCTCAGACATGTGGCTCACCAGAAATCTTTCTTGGATATTCTCTATCATCCCTCCTCCTTGACATTATCATTATCCAGCATTATCATTTCTTAGAAGAAATTGGGTAACCCAGTGGAAAAGCATCTATTTAATGCTATGTACCCATGAGCTCTCCCAGAAGTACAAGCCTGATCTATATTAATGATTTTAAGGACTGCTATATATGCAGGAAAAATAATGCTTAGGAAATGTCAGATTATTCAGGTTTACCTACAGGAATTGAGGATAAATGCATATTGCAGATAGATGCTAAGTATATAACAGAATAAAGAAAATAATCAAACACACTGACATCCCTCCTAAATTGTTGTAGTGTTTCCACTGCTTTATCTTCAGAACCAGACTTTTCAGGCTGTATTTGCCAAAAGGCAGGTTGCAGAGTTTTTATAGCCTAATCTCTGTATTCTTGTCACAGATGATGAGGGGAGTTAGTCAGACTCTGTGCTCTAAGCAACCTAGGCCTGTAGAATGATTATTTCCTACCTTTTTAGTCCTGGTTATCCACCCTGTGTTTCCTGTAGTTGGGTACTGGGAAAACTTTACTGAGTAACACTAGAGACTGAGACGTTTTATCGAGATCTCTGTGATATACTTTGACTTCACACTGCTTTCCCTATTATACACTTTTGCAAATGCATTAGTAAAGCTATATATCATAAGAAATACCAAGTACTGTATAAGACAATAAGGGATGAAAACTAGGTGTAGTGGGGTGCTTAGATCAACTACCATTTTATCCCCTTAATTACTGGTAAATATTTTAAACTACCTAATGTAGTTTTATATTTTCACTAACCATATACTCCAAATCCTGTCAAACTCTTCAATGTCTTGAGTACAGAACATAGATCTTTTACATCTTCAATGTCTTGAACATAGATGTTTTATATAATTTGTCCTTTTTCCTAGATTTTTTTTTGTTGTTGTTAAGATAATGGGGAACTGAATGTTTTATCATAGGTGATTCTAACACTGACTCCAGTACTGGGCCATTTTTTCCTCTGTTAATATATTTGCTAACATTGTTTTTCTTTTGATAGTCATTACATAGTAGGTTGCCCTCAGTTACCTACAAAAGTTTTTCTCAAATCATTGAATAGGGAGGAGAAGAAACAAACAAACCACACAGATATAGGAACAGTTTCTTCCAACCTACCTCTCCTCATTAATTAATGAAATTAGTCTACCTAGCTCCAGGGAAAAAAAGAAAACAAACAAAAAAAAGTTTTCTTAGAGAGTCCGATGAAACTAAAAGAGTTCCTACTACAAATATGTCAGTTTACCCCTCCCCATCAAGGCCACTGATGTTAAATATATCCTCGTATAACATGTTGTAATATCCCTTACACTCCTCTGCTAGGAAGGAAGTTTATGATACATATTTACCTTTGCTAATTTCAACAGTACTTTATCAACTCACTTTTTTTTTTCTTTTTTAAGATTTTCATCAGGTTTAAAAAAAGTTTTAAAAAAGCCAAATAAATTGTGAGACCTTTCTTGTCTATCTTCGTTAAGAAAATAAACTGTATGAAAATAACTACTAAGTAGGATAACCTAAAGGCAAAGGTAAGCACACACAAAAAAGGTACCATGCACCCTATATAACAAGGGAAGGTCCTCATTTTGAAATTCGTGTTACATGGCCCAGAGATTTCTAAAACAGTCCTAAGCAAACTTTCAGAGTGATGAGACCTATAGGAAACTTGCCTTGTCTAACCAGAGAGGTTGCTGGTTATCCTGGATTCTTCCTCGACTGGAGAGAAAGAACTTGGAGAATGGAATCTGACAACAAAAAATAGAGATTTTAGTGTCAACAGTATATAAAATAAAAACTTTAGAAAGGCCCGCCTTTCTAAACAAAACAACCATCTTTCTGCATCTGGCAGCAGCAGCACAACCCTTGTAGCTCACCCCAGGACTGCACTGTTCTGTGCTGCCTGTTTCTGGCTGTTATACAGAGTATTTGTCATTGGGTACCAGAAGCACTACTGAATAGACTATATATTGAAATGGAAACAAAGTATGACTGTTGAAAGAATTACTGTTTTGCAGAGGTAAGGTCTGTATCCCTGGACTCTATTTCAGAAGTCTCTAAAACAGTCATATATTTAGGAGAGTTTTTAAGATTTATTAAGTCATTAATTTACCTTTATATCCTCCCAGTATGGCCCTCCCCTGGTGAACATGAAGTAGTTATACAAATCATCTTTGTGATGGGAGAAGTAGGGATCCGTGTAAATGTTTATCATCCAAGGTCTGCCATCACCACGGACACGTAAATACAGACAATTGAAGTTTGACCAGTCCAAATATTTCTTCTTAGCAAAAGATCCCTACAAAACATGAAAAAATAGCATTATTCTGGCTTAGCCCTTAAACGGGAATTTTCGTTATGACAAATAAACATACTGCTTTGATCACTTCCCTTGTCCTTATTTCAAGTATCTACTGTGATGCAGAGGAAAGCGGGGTACTTTTTCATCCCACTAGTCACTGATCTCACTGAATTTCAGCACTGTATTAAAGACCCTTTAGAGCATAATCACTCTAAAGGCCCTTGCTTTAAATATAAATCACAGCAGTATAACTATCAGAAATGAGACCTCCTTCCTAGGATCAAATTGCCTACCAGGCAAGTACAAAAATGCTACAATGATGGATCAGGACTGCAGTTCATTAAGTTTAATATTTTGTGTCAGTACTAGATTATCTCAGAAGAAGCTGCAGGAAATTGAAGTGGAATAACTTATTCCCTTTGATAACTTCCCTTTGTTAAAGACTGATTTGAGCACTGACATCATGCATAAGGTTTCAAACATCTTTTGTCATTAACAGTGCCTGGACTATAGGCTTATCTGATTTTTTTTTTCAACTGAAGATCTTAAGTCCTGATATTGCAATTTGCACACAGGCAGGCCCAAGAAGAGGGCACTGCAACAACTGTAGGTGGCGGAGCTATTGACCAAAATTGCTTAAGCTAAGTCAAAAACAGCACCAAAAATCCAGAGATTTCTCCTCTATTTTGCAGCACTATGGTTACCTATCAACCTTCCTTTTACAGGAAACATGATTAAGGATAAGCAATGCATTAATTGCTTCTATTGATTCTATGCTTTGGCCATTTTTGAGGCTTTTTACTTAAACAAAAAAACTAATCCAAACCAAAAATAGCAACAAACAACAACCTCCTCCCTGCCAGATTTTGTATTTATGTCTTCACCCTCTGACCTCAACCTGTATTGTAAAGACAGACTGATGAAACCTACACTACTTCAGAGTTAGGAGGTGTAAGATTGAGTCATATTTGCTCTAGACAGTAGCAATCCTAGGAATTTAGCTTGGAGGAGATTCAACCTAGTATTCTGCTATTCTAGCCCTGGGTTGCCATTAAAATCAACATTACCATTTTAACTAGTGTTCTCTACCTCTCATTCTCCCATTGATTTTGCTTGCTCATATTCTTTGTCTTCCAAAATTTTAGCTCCAAATAAAAAGTTTTACCTGTGTTCTTGCACCAAGACACAGACAACAGAATAGGCCAAAAAAAGGGCCACCACCAACAAAAAAAACCTACCTTAGGCACAAAGCCAATATGTTTTCCACCTTTTTAAAGATATTGAAAAAAAAAAGAAAATAGCAGTACAAATAGTAAACACATGCATTTTTGTTCTCCTTTTCTCAATCTAGAGGTACCAGAGATTAGTCTCCTGCTTTTTCTGCTATCTATTAGGACTCAAGACCTTTAACTACATTTCAAAACACTATTGTCTATGAGGAAAAAAAAAAAAGAGAGAGAAAGAATATCTCATTCACCTAAAACAAGAGCTTGATGAATGGGCTGAGGTAGAGCTCAGGAATTTTTTTCTCATGATACATTCAATTAACTTCAAATTTAGAAAGGCTCATTTATATTAATCATACCAATTTGGGATATGAAGTTTCATTACAGATCCTTCACTTGTGAGGAGAAATATTAATGAGATTTCCTACTGTATTGCACTAGATGATTAAACATAAAATATTCGTCTTCTAAGAAAGGAGAACCAAATCTGAGAAAAACTTTTAAGTTCATTCCAGGTCAAAGGATAAAGCAGCAACTACATTCATGAAATCTAATGTTCCTGAAGGTGAGGACTGCAACAAACGGGCCACTTCTCCTTATGCAGATGAGAATGTCACCAAAAGCTCCCCCTGCTTCTGCTCCCATTACAGAATAGAGTTCTCTACTGCTAAGCTGTGTACTTACCACTAGCGGTCTGGATCTCATACTGCAGTATCCACTGTATTGTGTCTCCCCATCACGAGGTACTTCAGTATTGAGGGTCCCATATAGCAGGGCAGTCTGGTTATTCCTACTCAGTGTTAGGTAGACTTCACTTTTTCCTCCAATCTCTACATCAGAGGAAATTACCCACTTCTTTAAATCCTCTTGGGTCCGAAAGACCCACACCACCTTTGTCTGTTCTAAAATGTACTCAGTGAACTGACGGCCTTCAGGTCCTACTAAGTGATCTTTTGTCTCCTGCATCAGCAATTTTAGTTGAGTCTTTAAGGTATCTATTCCCTTCTTAAAACTGAAATCAATCTTTCGCCAAGATGGTTTTTTTTCGGGGAGCGACCCTGGCCTCCTGTAGCTGCTGTATGATTTTGACACAGAATCAGTGAGAGGTCCAAGAAAAAGTTGCCAGATTTTGTGCCTGCAGCACCTACTGTGTCTGAAAGCACCGCTCAGCGATGTCACAGCCATAATGGTAAAGCTGAGGGATTCTCTTCCAGCACGGCAATTATCAGCTTGTGATTTATTCAAAGGCAAAATTGATATCCACAGATATCTTTAATTACTGCAGTTTATCTCCACCTTCAACAAAGAAGATAAAAGAAATTACACATTGTATGCCATAAAAATGTTTTTTTAAAAAAGATTATCAATCAGAAATCTAACCCACTGTAAATATTACATATGTGCAGTTATTTAATTTATTTAGTGATTTCTGCCCTATGTCTTCTCCCCTTAGTGACCCATGAAAACAGGAAAAACTTAAGTCAAGTCCATGAAATAAAACTGAAAACCAAAACCAGAATAACTCTCCTTCATCCACTCACTATAAATAAGTAGTAGAATAGTAGTAGTAGCAGCAAAAACAGTCTTAAAACATTTTTGAAAGATGAGGCCAACGTAGCTAGAAAGTACTATCCCCTGCAATTATGACAAATTGGTGCCCTGTGGGCTGCAATGACAGTCACAGCTAACAGTCACAGATTATAATATACCTTATGTATCTGAAAATGCCATCAGAGCAAACATAATACATCCTTCTTCCATCATGGGGGGGGGCATCTTGCCCCGCTCAGCGTGCCTAGTTTAGGAGTACAAAAAGGCTGCAAAGAATTAAAATTATGAAAAGAAAAAAAAAGCTTTTTTTTTTTTCAATAAAGTATGGCAAAATCTGATTTTTTTTTTCTTTGTTTTGTTCTGTGTCACTGCAGGTAGGAATGGCCATGCATACAGTTATTATGTAATTAGTAATGGAGAGCCTTAACATTCAACGCTCTGAAGTCTGGTTTTGTATCTCCAGCTCATGAGATCACACTCACTAGTTTTTGGAGCCTGGGCACATGTGTTTGGTTGTTTTTTGCTACAGAATAAATCCCTAACTAATGCCAAATCCATTTGTCCTCTCAAAGATTTTAGGAAAGGCACCACTCAAATTATGTTGGACCCTTAACTTATTCATTCCTCTTAAGAATTTTTAAATTACAAAACCCACTCACTCCCCTCCTTCACTCTTAACATCCTCTGAGCTTTGAAGTCCCATTCGAGGCCGTCACCATCCTTCTCTTCCCCTTCCCCCTTTCCTGCCCTCCCTCGTCCCTGACACCGCGCTGCGAGGTGAAGCTCACGCTCCGCAAGGCCAACCGCCGCCA